GCACAACCCTGTAATCCCAGCACTTGGGAGGCTGAACACAGGAGGATCACTATGAGTCTGATCAGTGTAGTGGGACCCAGTAGACCCTGTACTAAATACATTAAAAAAAAAGTTTTGAAAGTTTTCACCAAAACATGATAAATGTTTGAGGAGATGGTTACACTTAACCTGATTTAAGCTTGCTCAAAATATAGATGTATTAAAACAATTGCCTTATTCTATTAATATGTTCAATTTATGTATTAGTTTAAATATAATTTTAATAAAAAGAACAAAGAAGACAATATCCATGTCACGTTCTTCCCCAAAATGGGACCATCTAATTATTTGTCTAAAACAAACACGCTAAGCTACAGCTGTTTGCAATCACATGAGCGCCCTGAGATACCTGTGCACAATGCTCCCCATCCCTGACCCAGTGCCTCCTACTCAACTTTATTTGCCAAATAAGCAGTAGCCGTAACATCTTAGGATAACACATGATGATATCCTTTTCAAGTAAGTGCAAGATAACTTGAGGGGGAGCTTTTTATTGTAAATAATATCTTAAAATCTTTCTACATTAGAGCTAATCTCAAACCTGTCTGTCTACCAAATTATGAACGGACAAGGCGACATGGTCCACATACCCAACAGAGTCGCTACTTAGACATGAAAATAGTAACATCTTGTCATGTTTGACAGCACGGCTATCACTGGAGATTTTTATTTTAATATAAGCTTGGCAAAGAAAGGTGACAATCGGCTGATCTCACCTGGAACCTGAAACAAGTCAATTTTACAGGGATTGAGAGTAATAGTTGCAGGAGGCTGGGGAGAGAGAAGTGAGGAAAGGTTGATGAAGGGTTCTAAGGTATAATTAGATAGGAGCAAGAAGTTGTGCTCTGCTACTGCCCAAGTGCTTGGCAGCATAAACAGTGCCCGGCAGGCGCAAGGACTGGGGCTCGATTCCAGTGCCTAATGCCATGGTGGCCCTGGAACCCAAGGTGTGCTGTGTCGGTCCACAAACCAGATGTGGTGGTGCATGTCTGTAATCCCAGCCCTGTGGAAGCTGACATAGAGGGTCACTGCGAGGCCAAGCTGGGTAGTGAGACCCTGTACCAAATACATAAATAAATGAATGATGGAAGTTTTTAAAAGCTAGAAGAAATGATTTTGGATATTTCCATCATAAAGGAATAATAAATGTTTGAGGAAATCGGTATGCTTGACTTGATTTAAACATGACACAACATGTACAGGCATTGAAACATCACATGGACCCAAGGAATGTGTGATTTGTATATTTTTATATAACAACTAATTTAGTTTGAAAAAATTAGAAGTTTAAACAATTAACATAGGTTGTAGAAGTCCAAGTTTTCCTAACTGCAAATGGACTTATTTATATTTTCCATGGTAATTTATCACTGTGGCTACCTTTGGTTCATGCTTCTTTAAAGAATTATTTTAATTCCTACTCAATTTTAAAGATTATTTTGAAAAAGAAAAAGATGTTTAACTCCTGTGGCTGATTTACCTCTAAACCTCCAGGTGTTCCTCAAACTCTCTCTTCGTCCTCTACCTGTACCCTTTTAGCTAGTGAGACACAGTGCTTCGAGTATGCACGAGGGGCCATTCCTTAAAATTCTCCACCACCTTAATCTTGTGCATTTGAGACTTTGGGAAATAAAAAAGATGGCTTCAAACATTTTTAGAAAAGTTAAGCCTCAGAAGTAGATATAAATAGCCCAAGAATCTGCACTGAAAGAGGCATTTCTCTGTTTAGTTTCTGGTTACAGAGGTGGGTTCTTACTTAAAAAGGAGTACATTGAAGAAGTTTCATTTCAGTTTTTATTCTGAGTCCCTCTTTTCAGCCCAAAACTCCCCCTTCCCAGACATCTGACAGTTGGAAAGTAAATTCCTTTGGGGAGACTTGACTCAGTAATGAGAGTGTGTCTTCCTCTGGAACAAACCCACCAGGGAATCCACCGGGGTGTGCTCCACTAGAAATTGTGCAGAAAAATATCATGCGAGGACATTACAGTTGGACAGTCCAGGGTGGGCTCTAATAATTGCATTTCTGCTCCTGAGCTCTCTCTGTCTGAGGAAGGTCAATTTATTTTTCCTCTTATCTAGATCTATTGTCTTTTTCTGGTTTACTTCTTGTAACTGTTGGAATAAATCCTGGCAATGATTTTCAGAAACATCATCTTACTAAAAATTTAGCTAAGATCCATTTGTTGTTGTCTTTTCTAGATAGTGTCTCCCTCTGTGGTTCAAGAAGGCATGGAATTTGCAGCAGTCCTCCCGCCTTCTCCTCCAGAATGCTGGGGTGGCAGGCAGGACTCCTCAGATTGGCCAAGATACCTTGTAGGAAACAATATCAATGTAAGTCTGATAGCAAACAAAGCATTTACAATGACACTATATTCAACAGATAATTCTTTATCTTTTGTTTCTCATCTAAAGATTGGATCTTTGCTTTACTTTTCATAAACAAAGGCCTTTTAAAGAAATTTCTCTTTACTTCCAGAAAAAAAATGGCAGCATGAGTCTAAAGCGTTTTTCTTCTGCTTTTACTTATAAAGATCTTATAAAGTTCACTACTTTTGGATAGTTTCAGATAATGTTAGCTAGATTTTTATTAGTTTATGAAATCAAAGAACAGTTATAACAAGATCAAAAACATACTCTTCTGGATAATTTTCATAGTATACCTAAAGAATGGGCAGCTGTAATTTAGCCTATATTTGCTAAGTGAATGATTTTGGACAGTACACTTATTCAGGAATGCCACAGTGGTCAACAGTTTAGGAAACTGGTACTTTGTTTAAAATAAAGCCTAGTTAAAAATAAAATTATTTTTTTGCTAAAATCTCTAACATTTGAAATAGTTACTCAAAATGTCACGCAAGGAAGTTCATCCCATGTACACTCTAGGGACCTGATTCTGTACAATGCTGTTTCCTCAGCCATGTCTCTTAGATTGGGTCAGCCTTCCTTACTTCACGACTACTGATGCTGGCTTAGAATAGTAAAATAGAAGTAATCATGATCTGGCCTCTGATTCCATGGTGAGCCAGAAAACTAATCCATTCACATCTCACCTCAAGACTTTTGTTGTTAAAAGGCCAAGCAGGAACCCCTTCAGCATTGCTCTTGAAGTGCCAGTGAGTGCTCAGAAGTAGCAAGGCCTCTTGTTGAAGTTGGGGAGTGGCCTAAGGTCAGGTGCTCCGAAGGAAAGAGAGCCAGGAAATTTGTCTTGGGGAAGTTCTGTTTCTATCTTGGAGATGGTGACTCAACTGAACTTTGTTGAGTTTCTTAATTTATTTAGTTTTTAATAAGTGATTTCTTTAATACTATATTTAATTTATTTTATGGATATTTTGGGGAAAAAAACCCTGTTACTTGGTTTTCAAGAAAACAGCGGAAATACAAATTGGAGGAGGAAGGTGGTCGGGTCTGTTGTCACTAGTCAGCTAGGTGGCTGAGTCAGCCGTGGGCACGTGCCATTGACCCATCAGCCTGGAACTCGTGGGCCGGTGGGCGGGACCTTCCCCTTCTATGCTTTGCTCCCAATTGCTGGAATAATGTCTGGCTCATCATAAGTGCAATGTCTGTTTAGTGAAGGACTAGAACAGTATCATTGCTACTTAGTAGAAAAAAGTCAAGATTAGCTTGTCTAAATATGTGATATTGTAAAAGTGATTAAGGTCCAGCAAGACAGCTCAGCGGACTAACTGCGTGCTTTGGCAAGCACAGAGACCAGGGTTTGACCCCGCTCCTGCATCCTGTGCCAGCTCCACTCCAGGGCACGCTGAGTTGGCGACTGAGTCCAGGTGTGGTGGCGCATGCCTATATTCACAGTGCTTGGCAGGGTGAAAATAGGAGGATCCTAGGAGTCTGAGCTGCGTAGTAAGACCAAATACATAAATTTAAAAAGTGATTGAAATACTAACCTACAGGTAAGCATAAATGGGTAGGGGAGCACTCATGTTATTTGTTCATGATCATATTACTTTGTGATCACTATTCTGATCTTCATCTGTTAATGTAAATAATTGAAATTTCAAGCTAAAGAATTTCTGTAACAATTTAAAAATTTATATAAAACTCATGTGCTCAATGAATGCTGGTGCTATTCTTATAAGAGTGAATTATCAAGTTGGCCTTGATGATGTTTGCCCATTACTGTGTTGTCTTGCTTTTATTTATTTATTTATTTATTTATTCAGAACCAGGGATTGAACTCAGGCCCTTGCGCTTGCCAAGGAAGCACTTATTCCACTGAGCCATCTCCCCGGCCTCTTGTCTTGCTTTTAAATCTTTGTCAAAAACTAAATGTTGTAGCTAAATTTGACACTGTGCAGTCATATTTGGATTTACACATTTTATGAAGTATTCGTATCAGATTTATTTTTACGTTACCTGCTATCTTAATTTCTTTCCCCCTGGGCTTCTAATCCTCAGGCCACTGATGTATCACTGTGCACATACAGAAAGGCACTGCTCCCGTGGACATATGCATAGATAGGATGGTGGACGGGTCGGTGGGTAGATGTGTACATAGCTATATAATGCACATGAATTGGTATTTATAAAAAATAGATTTTTATTTGTTCACCTGTATGTTAGATACAATTATTTGCTTTGCATCTTCTCCCACTCTCTATAGTTATTCACCTGTAAGAATATTTCTGTGTCCCCACCCACAAACTATGCCTTACTGCTCCTTAATACTGAGCTCAGTTGTGTGACTTGCCTGAGCCAATGGGATTCCACAAGCTAGGGACCTGTGCTCGTGATTTTAGCCTGACTCTACATATATATGTAGTGACGTAAACCTGAGCCTTTATTATGTGTGAAGATGGGCAGGAGGTGATTCTTCAGCTCTTAATTTGGGGATTGGACCCGCACCAGCACCAACTGACAGACTTAGCAGATGACACTGGTGGAAGCCTGAAGAATATGGGGCAGCTGAGCGCCCTCTCCTGTGCTTCTGTTCTCAGCACCTGAAGCACCTGAAGACCGTGTCTTCCCGTCTCTGCCCACTTGACCCTCTGATGCAAGCAAGATGCCCAGAGAGAACTGAAATGTGTGGTGCAGCGTAGAGCCACACTCAGGTGAAATGAGCTGAGCCCTCGCAGGTATACTGATTTGTAAGCCCAAACAGAGTCTTTTTATTTTATGCCTCTAAGTTGTAGGGTGGTCGGCTATAGGCATGATTGTGGCTATAGGGGTACTTTTTGTTATGAAGAGCCCTTTTCTTGTGGCTAGCAGATCTACCACAGGATTTGCTATCTACCGAGAAATTTTGTACTGTTTAAAAATTGCCCTACATGAATCCAGCATGCCTTGTGGTGTGAAGTAAATCCTTATTGACAAAGATGAACACCTTACCAGAGTCACAGATGTATTGCTACAATTTAAATTAATTTCAACCCATGAGTTGACATTTTCCTGTAAATGCACACACACACACACACACACACACACACACATGCTCACAAGCACACACACCCATGCCCACATGCACATATGCCCATACACCCCCCCACATGCTTATAAGCACACATACCTATGCCCATGTGCACATATGCCCATGTACATACACACATGCTCACAAGCACAGACACCCATGTCCATACGCCCATACACACACCCATACACACACATGCTCATAAGCACACATACCTATGCCCATGTGCACATATGCCCATACACACACACACACACACACACACACATGCTCACAAGCACTGACACCCATGCCCATGTGCACATACACCCATACAGACACACACACACACACACATGCTCACAAGCACAGATACCCACGCCCACGTGCACATATGCCTATACACACACACACACACACACACACACACGCTCACAAGCACACCCATGGCCACATGTGCATATGCCCATATACACCCACACACATGCTCACAAACACACACAACCGTGCCCACATGCACATACACCCATACACACACACATGCTCACAAGCACACACATCCCATGCCCACCCGCGCACACACACATATTTGCAGTCATTACACTGAGTTTACGTACGTGGTCAGCACTGCTGCTGTCCTGCACCTGGTCACCCTTCGTCCCCATTCCCCTGGGAGCACCAAGCCCAAGACCATCTGAGTTAGCGCTCTCCTTTCTGTCAGGTGTCTTAGTGCAGTGGATAATGGCAAATAAGCAGCAGATGGGCTCTCTGCCGCCTGCATGCAAAACTCTTAAAGAAAAGGGAAATAAGCAGTTTAGTCTCCTCTTCCCTTATACTCCTACTTGAAATTCCGATTGGTGATTGGTAGTCATCTGGGGCTCCAAGGAGAGGGCTCCGTGGGGAAGAAAGAGACCTACCCTGGAAGTACTCTGTAGGGGACCTGCCATTTCACCCTGAGGTTGTGACCGGTGTGGGGATAGACTTCTGTCTGGTTTGTACTCTGGTTGGCTGTATTCTATAGAAATGCATATAAAATATGCAGGGTAATGTTCATCTGAGTTATTCTAATTAAATAAAATTTTAATTAAACATTATTTTCAAAATTACAAAATTAACATTGAGGGCTGGGGAGATAGCTCAGTGGACTAAGAGCCTTCTCAGGCAAGTGCAGGGACCGGGGTTCGATCCCTGGCAGCACTAGCTGCACCGGCCCCTCCCTGGGTGCACTGAGCCTGCCATGGAGGTTGGGTGTGGTGACCTACCCCTGTCATCCCAGTGCTGGGGTGGCTGAAAACGGGAGGATCACTATGAGTCCTAGTACACAGTAAGACCATGTATCAAATACATGAAAAACAAAACAGACAAAAAAAAAAAAAAAAAAAGTAATGCACTTTGAGTGAAAACCAGAAATGTTGCACTCTGCACTCTTCTGGTAATGTTCATGGCTCAGGGTGTGGCGACATATTGCTCTTGCCTGACTAGCCACTGGCTCTGCAGCGTGCCTGCCCTGGAGAAGTAGATGCCAAACACTGCAGCGGAGCCCAGGTCCACCACTCAGACGCAGGCCAGGTGGAGGGGTTCCTGGGCTTGGAGAGTTCCAGGTAGAAGAGGGAAGAGAGTAGCAGAAAATGAGAGTGAAGGGGATGCAAGAGGAGGGCACAGTACAGGATGGGATAATGCCAGCTGCACCAAGACAGGCAAGTTGGGTTGTTCGGGCCTGACGGTGCAGGGTTTGGAGCATGAGGACTGAGATCGAAGACAAGCAGGTCACATATTTTGCCCACCACTTACCTATCTGCCCTAGCAGAAAAGATGGAGGCAGGAGTGGGAATGAGCTTTCTTCCCAGGGGTTCATCTCTGTATCCACCTGCTTCCCTCCTTTCCTGTCACTCCTTCTAGTCCAAATGTTAAGTTGCACTAAAGTTGACTACAATTAAAGAGGAACACAATGGCCACTGTTCATGCCCACTAGAAAGGGCCCCGTTGCCCAGATATGTGGACAGGCATTGTCAAGTGATTTCTGAAGCAGAGGACCTTCACACTTGTGCTTACCCTGACTTGCTAGCCTGCTAGCCCTCCCTGAAGATGCTGTACTTTCCAGACTGTAGTCACACAAGTCAGTTCCTTAAAGAATAATCTTAGACCTCTGTACACACACACACACACACACACACACACACACACACATGTACGTAGCTCTATGCATCCTTTTGCTTCTGTTTCTCTGCAGAACTTTGATTAATAAAAAGGGTGTGACCAATGTAGATACAAAAATATGAAGGACTTACATTCTTATTTTCTAAGAGAAATTTCTATTTCACATGACATAATATGATAACAGTGGCAGTGGTGATAACGTTAATTGTGATATAGCTGCACAATTATAATTCACTTGAAAACCTCCCAGTGATGTGGTCTTCTAACGTGTTGTTGGCCATCTTCTTTAGCTCTTATATGATATTTATTATTTGTCACACAAAGCCATGTATAATGAAATAGTTCCATAATAAATCAAAACATTTAGCAGAACAAGTAAACAGGAATGTTTACCCAGTAAGCTTTTACTTGCAGTTTGGTGTGCAGTTGGTGGGAAATGCTCCCTGCATTAATGAATGGACTCAGTGAAGCTGACCAAGGCACCTGCCAAAAATACCTTTAAAATGTTCCTTTTCCACAACCCCACAAATTAAAAAGTGTTCAAAATGTTAATTTGGAGCCCAAAAGGAACAAGCACAGACTTTGTGTTAACCAGTGTTTATATGAAGTAGGAATTCCAATTACTGAGGTTTAATTATGCTATCTGGAACTCAGAAATAAGTTTTGAGTAATATGTTTGGGATAAGGTACAACTCAAGTAAGTAAATGCCTTCACTTATTTTTTTGTTTTCTAAATTCAATGAACTATCTTTTCAGAGGCAACCCACTTCAGCTTCTTGCCAGGGTAATGATGCTTTTGTAAAATACCATGGAGAACCGAGAATAAATGATAATGATAATGATACAAGAAGCTCTGACCTAGAAGGGAATATTGCTTTTGCTGCAGGTAGAAGCTCACGTAAGGAAGGGGTTGCAAAGAAACCAGAATTTCTAGATCTTTCCATGTGCTTCAGCTCCTGCCAAACAAGACAGAAGCCCACAGTAAATGCTTCTCCTGTGCTTTGAGCCATTACTCTCTTAATCAGGGGCACACAAATTATCATTTCTGTATCATAAATTCATCTCTCTTCATTATTCTCTTCTCTTCATGAAAAAAAGTGTCCTTAGGTCTTCCTGTCCTGACGACAGCCGTCCTTAGTCTTGTGCTTCTCAGGCACTCTCACCTCTTGGCCTGCTTCTCATAGGCCTGGTATTGGTTTGCTCTCTCCAGCCCCTTTCAGTCATTTAGGAAGATCTGCCAGCCAAAGCTTGGGGGCTGGGCACTGTAAAGTGACCCATGGAATTGTTTACTTTTAGATGAAATATATCCAGCTCTTTCCCACCTCCAATTTACATAAGCGTCAACTGAGATCAAAGAGGCAAAAAGACCCACAGAAGGTAGCTCAGATCCAAACACACCCACTGATGCAGATGTTGGACATTGTCCTCTTAATGCTCCTTGACTGAATATTACTCTGCATCCGCATCTCAAGCATGGGCTAAGCTCTTCATCTGCCCCTTCTTGCTTAGTTCCCATGACGAGAGAACTTCTGTTCACTTACCGACTGCTTGGATCACTCAAATTCAATCGACATGGTTTTAAGTTGTGAATAATGTACTGAATGTTGGGTCATGTAATGTCTTTCTCGCTTGCTTCTTTTCTATAGGCTATGGAACTTAGTCTTTTAGGGTGCTCTTTATAGAGGAAGGAGTACTCATGAAAAAATTAAAAGAAATTTGGCTTACAAACATCTTTAACAGGAAATTTTGAAAACACTAAGACAAAGGAAATAAAAATCAATAATAACCCAACTGTTACCACTGATATTTCACTATGTATACTTTCAGAGTTTTTTGGGTACACCATCATATACACGTATGTGTATGCAATAAAAGCAATATCACATCTTCCTCACATACTAGAAGTTTCATGGCTGAGACCCTTACAACAAATGATGGAGTGTAAGAAAAAAACATAAATTTAATGTTTCATGTTGATATTAGAAACCTCAGAAATGTAAAGGCAAGCAAAGAAGTTGTATATTAAATGAACAATTCTGTAGAAATGTGATCGAAAGGCAAAAGGCCATGAACTAATGGTCATAAACTGAGGACTGCTAAATGAGACATGTCTGTTTAGACTCTTTTGCCTGCCTCTCACCTCTGAGATGAGAACATTCCCTTGATTCAGATACAGGGAGGGTTCTTCTGGAATGGAGATTTAATGACTTCACATCTGAAGACCGTTAGCTGGCCTTGGTGGCCTGCTTTGCAGGACAGGCAAGAGAGGAGATGTAAGAGTGAGCTCCCTTCTGCTCTTCCCTAAAACGCCAAGATTTTGGGGCCATGTGCTCTGAGCCCCATCATAAACTCTTGGTAGATGCACAGTACAACTGTGCTATTGTTATTTAAACCATATCTAATAGGTTGAGGTTGTTTTTAAGGATTTTTTTACTATTTAAAAAAATGTTATGACTTCAGAAAATTTGTCCAGGGGTGAGTATAAGTCAAGTGTTAGTTGTATTTCTGAAGTCTATCGTACATATTGTCAGATTTCTCACAAACAACCTTCTGACCCTTCCTTGATAACCTGTTGTGTTAGACCATTCTTTCATGGTTTCCTGTCTACTCTGAAAACACTGCCTTCACACCACCTCTGCTCCTGCCTTCCTCCTGTAGGCAGCTCTCCCAGTCTGAGTCCAGGGATCTGGCCACGCCCTGCAAGCGTGGTGCTCTCCCTAGTGTGTACCACGCAGCCTGACAGCGCCTCCTTGTTTCATCTGTCAGGTTTCTCAGCATGTTCTTGACCTTCACTAATAGCTTCCTTTCTGCTTTTCAAAGTTCTATTCTTTAATCAATCCCAAAGCAGAGGCCATTTATTCTTGATGTTTAATACTATAGACCCTAATTCTTAGCACTTACTTCTTTTTTATTTGAGTATATTAGCTATGCAGAATAGAGGATTTCACCTAGCATATTTGTATCTGCCTACTACTTTGGTCCTGTATCTAACCCCACTACCCGCTCTACCCTTGCCTCGTCTGTCAGGCATTTATTAGCCTCCAACTAACCACTAGGGATCTTTGGGCATAACCACCACACTTCTATGGATCAGCTGTGGGGCCAGATTCACCTGGGATCCCAGTGTGCATGGTCATCTAGAGCGCAGCAGGGACAGGCAGCCTACGGTGCTCGGCTGTCCTCAGCACACACGAGGAGCTGCGACCATGAAGCGGTAGGTGCGGTAACTCACTGGTTTGCGCTGACTGTCTTATAGTGTATGTCTGTAGAACATCAATCCGCACACCTAAATATATGTATGTATGTATTTTTGTCAATTAAATTTCAATAAAGCTGAAGAAAATAAATTATATCTGATCAAATTATATTAAATTATTTAAGCATGTAATTATGTATTGATATATTATAAATTTAGTTGGTTTCTAACATCATATTTTACTTTGAAGAAGTTCTTTGTGAGACTGGGCGTGGTGGCACGAGCCTGCAATCCCAGCTCTTGGGAGGCTGTGAACAGGTGGATCACTGTGAGTCTAATCTAGTAGTGAGACCCTGAACA